TCTTCCTCTCAACCTAATATGTGCCTTGCATCTCCCCTTTTCTTTTCCTAAAAAGGTTTTCTTCTTGTAATTGATCCTTCATTGATCTCATAATATGGTAATACTGATCCAGCAAAAGAAGATATCGAATTCTTGCAAAACATTTAAACAGATTAGTCCAAACGTAATCGGCTCTTTAAAATATTTTCTAAGCTGGCAATGTGCTTTATAACAATTCATCAAGGCAAAAAAATAGGAAAGGGCCAACTCTTGAAGAGAAAAGCGAAAAGTCTACCATATCAATTTTGAATATAATGAAAAACAAACAGAAACATTACCTCTTCTCTCTAATTGGGAAGTCATAATTTTTTTATCATCTTTCCTTCTAGTGGAAGGAGAAACTGTGACATTCTTAATAAAACTATCAGATACTTCCAATCTATTTTCCTCTATTCTTCCTTCTGCTATTTGTGAATTTGAATGCTCATCCACTATTTGTTTGTTTGATCTCAATGATACTGCAGATTCATCCACTGAAATCTCTACAATAAGAGATACAAAACAATAAGAACAGAAAAAACGAAGATTACTTCAAAAATAATTTACTGATCACTGCTTTACTGATACGGGTATAAGCCACAGCTACATAGCATCACATAATAGTGCTATAAACACTAAATAAGAGGAAAAGAGAGTTAAATAAAGTCACACAGATTATAGCTTCAGAAACAGCAAAGGTAAGTCCAAAGACATAAACTTTCACAAGTTTAAAAAGAATTGTTCCTTGGCAAAGTTGTATTTGTTCCACTAATTTTCTTTCAGCTTCTTCTCTCATATAACTAATTTTCTTTATCGCGGTTACTTAATTAGAACCAATAATAGGCACTTCATTTTTTTGGAATGAAGACATCCAAATTGGAGTTAAGGGGGAAAAATCAACTCAATTCTGGCAAGTATGCTGTTCCAGAAGAATAGGCAAATATGCTAATTAAAAATATCTATCAAAATGATCAGATAGGCATGAAGCTGTGGTCAATCCATCATATCTTCGTTGGAAAAGCTGAGCAAAAGATTGTTCCGAGGAAATGAGAGGCGAAGTACCATAATTAGTTATGGTACTAACTACTAAGCTCAACTGTGCACGGGTTCCGCATAATTCGTTAATAACAGTATATCAATGACATACATGAAGGAATGAAGCTTCAACGTGAGTATTCCATCTAATCATTGCCCTCTCCTATCATGGTATCTTATTTAAGTCAAATATATTAAATTGGAGGGGAATGAGGGATTATCAGGATACAGAATTACACGATCAAGGTGGGAGTGGATCGTTAGTTGTCAATTAGAACAAGCAAGGTTATTTTCTAATACTTTCTTTGATTATTCATAACGGATAAGGAAAAGGCCAGTTACTATTCTAATTATCACTAGACGACTGCAAAAATATCCTCCCATCAAAGCGTCCCATACGAATAAGACATAACTAAGAGTATGGTTAAATGCTTGATTTTTGATACAGACCTATAGGTGCAAGAAAATATAAAAGGTGACAGAAGAAAATACAAGATATCTTGACTTTTAAGTTCATATTATCTTCTTTGTCTTTAGTGTAATATTTTTTTCTGACAAGCATGCAAAAAGATTAATCATGAAATATACAACTTTGACATGTTATTAATATTCACAAGTTTACAATCAAGTACAAACCTGAGGGCTGCATTATGAACTGATCTTGTGCTGACAGTAAGTTAGTAAGAAGTGGATTCTTCTCCCAGGACCAAAGAAATATGGTTGTAAATAAGAGAGCAGACAGGAAGAAGGAGAACTGTCCTCCCAAAAATCTACCAACATTTCCGCCTTTCATTTTTCAATGCACACTCCAAGTAGAGATATACTTGTGAGTTGCTGCTGTTCTTCCGCTACAACACAAATGAGCTTCTGTACATGGGTGAAGTGAAGGACATCTGGGACATTCAGACAACCACCATCAAGATTTTAGCCACAACTTTCACAGGTCTGGGCTCTTGAAATTAAATGATAGAAGCTTAAAAAAAAGAAAAAAGAACCATGTCAAGATAACTACTCAAGCACTCAAATACAATGTACTTTATTAAATCAGACAAAAATGTTGAAAATATTCAAATTTAACAGAACTTCTATCAACTCTTTGAACCTCTAAAACGACGACAACGAAAGGGATACGAGAGGCGGGAACCATGTATACAGTCACAGGAATCTAAGAATTAGTCGTTTCAATGTAAAACATTATTTACATCTCCCCTCTCAAGTTATTCATGAGAATTCAGCTTAATAGTTCACGATGTCAAATTATACATATCATATGTTGCATCGAGCATTTCAAAGTGGTCATTATCTTCTTGTGTTGTCCCCTAGAATTTTCTCTTTGATTCTGGAAGAAACTATATAACTTTTGTGAACTGTCACAAGGCCACAACCACATTATGGTACTTCTTCAATCTTGAATACACACTTTGGTATTAATCTTTTTATGCTATGAAACCATTTGCTGGTGACTCAACATTTCTTAAGCAGAAGTATTATGAAAATGAACATATTTGCTGATGAATCAACTATGTTACAGGAAGAGCATTATAGAAACTAGGGGTAGACTAAAGCATTAACAGAAAAGAACAAACATAAAGAAAGCCCATTTGACAGATTCCTATCCTAAAGCTAACCTTCCGAAAGATAGTCTCAAATGGCAACATTACAGCCAAAAGAAAGCACCAATTCCATAACTAAACACAAGAAAACAACATATCCAAATCAAGTTTTGTCCTTTATTTCACAATTCTTTATTAGTAAAAATATAAACTTTAATCCTTTTTTAACTTCTTCTATAACAAAATCAATTCAATTACAAAAAAAAAAAACAAGAGAAGAAATATCTTAATTACCAGCAAGAGCATTATATAAATTAGGAGCAGACTAAAACATAACTGAAAACAACAAAAATACAAAAAAAGTAAAGAAAACCCATTTGACTGACTCCTATCCTTAAGCTACTCCCAACATGGCAGCAACAATCCACAAGTGGGGTGGGTGTAATACACCCTTGGCTCAATAAAAGTCCCAAAATGACAACATTACAGAGAAATTAACACAGCATTTTGATACCAAATCTTTATTTTAAAAAAATACAAACTTTAATCCCTTTTCAGTTTCTTCTATAACAAAATCAATTCAATCAACAATTAAATAAACAGCCATGAAGATATAAATCATAAAAAGTATTTAAAAAATCACCTTTTTTGAACAATGCTGATAGATCCCCTGACCTTCTCCGTTCACATTGTCTACTATTTGATAGATCGGTGTGAAATGCAGATATATACGTATGGAGAATTGTCGGGTCGGGTCAATGGAGCTTTGGCCGACAAATTGATAAAGAATAGAGAGAAGAAATCTGGTGTGATTGAGACGATTGTAAAGCTTTTTGGTTAGCCAATAGGAGAAATAATGGACAAGGGTGTTTTGGTAGATATATGGAAAATTGGAAAGTGAGGGTTACTCTCTTTATTTTAGTTTGTTCCGTGGTATTTGACTGAGCATAAAATATTTCATTTTATCTTTGGATAATATATTCTTGACAATTTATCGTAGGGCTATACCCACTCGAAAACACTTATATTATCAAATGTTCAGAAGTAGATTATTGACGTAGTTCACCACCGCGCGAAGCACGGCCAATTTACCTAGTATCAACATATATATATATAAATGGTCTTTTAAAAGTGTTCAAAATATTATTTGGACATTTCAATTAAGTCTAAACTTTATTAGACACCTAAAGGGATAGAGGCCCAAAATCAGATAGGTCAGAATCTGGTTCAGCCACGGCAATCTTAGCACTTTCCAGAGAGACTTCAAAATCATCAGGCCAAACTCCGTTTATATACGGAATCACACAAGAGAATTTAGTACCAAAAACATCTTCAAACAACAGTTCATTGACAATAATACAATTTCCCATTACTAGGGTTTCCATCTCATCACTGTCAACAGAGATACGAAGATTCGCATAGAAAATTCGAACAATAAATTCAAGACCACACAGACTAAACAACAAAGATAATTTTTTAGCCTTGAGATACGAACTTATCGAACAATGAGAGTCCCTTAATTGACTGAGATCGATTACACAACCAAGAACAATCGGTCAAGTTTTGAAGATGTCATACATGTTCTTCTACTCGGACCCCCAGAATCATTGCATGTCTTCTGGAGAGAGATCCTGAAACATTGGGACGAGGTTTCTTCAGAGCCTTCTTTTTTGTGCTATATGCTTGGTTCCTTTCCTTTTTGATTTCTTTGCCTGCAAAGGGTACGAATAATTGTTAAGTGTCGTTTATCAAAATCAACTGATTCTATAGAGTTGACACATTTATGTATTATGCATTAACTATATCATGATGAAAAGTGAAATGCTTCAAGGACTTCAGAAAACACAAATGATTATAATTAAGTTTGAAGAGAATAACTAATAATTGTTCAATCGTTAAATAAGCTAAGATGAATTGGATCAAAAAAGTTTGTACACAACAATGAAAGTATGATTGGTTCCATCGATCGAACGAAAATCGCTTCTTGCTTTTTGACTTGACTACTCTGCTTGCTTAATACAAGTTTTATTTTAACCTTCTCGGACCACTTCACTACCCAACAAGCTCTAGTTCAAAAGCAAGAAGCAGGAGTGCATCAACTACGCGAAAGTCGTTGCGCCTTAGCGCATCCCCTTTCTTACTCATTAGTGTTGTTTTATGATTTACAACTAGCACACTTGACTAATAAGATAGAAAGGATCTTTCTCACTTGTTTGAGCCGAGGAATAAAATTTCTTTCCATCTATTTAGCTATACAAATTAAAATAAGATTAGTTGATCAAAATTTAACAAAAAAATATAAAACTGGGCCACATGATAAGGCCCAATAACAGAAAAAGGTGAAAATGGACTTTAAAACCCTAAACCCCTAAAACTAAAACCTTCTACTCAAATCTTGAATTTCTGTGCATATATAAAATCCCAGTTTCAACGTTCTTTCTTCTTCCCCCCACACACCACACAGCAGAAAAGCAAAATCTTCTTGTTCAAGCAGCAGCAGCAGTAGCCATGGCGAAACGTTTGATCCCAACACTTAACAGGATTTTGATTGAGAAAATTACAGCTCCTGCTAAAACAAGTGCCGGTATTCTTCTCCCTGAGAAGTCCGCTAAGGTCAGTAACTTAGAAAACTGTAATTTGTTGAATGTTCGATTGAAATTGGTAAATGGGTCTCAGTTAGATTCATCACTGTCTTCTTGTTGTTTTCATTTGACGGCGGACATATTGGTTACATTAGGTAGATTAAGTGTGAAATTTAGACAAGATTTAATTTTGAAAAGGTTCTGCTTTGTTAAGTATCCGAATGAATTGGGTTTACTTAGCCGAGTTCAGAACTTAACTATTTTGGTTTTCTTTTGATCGGGTTTATTCTAAGTGCTAAATTTTAGAGTTTGTTGAGCATTTGACTGATATGGGTCCATCTTAAGCTGAACATATATTAATTTGTCTTTGATTGAGACACATTTGATTGTTTTATTGTTTTATTGTCTTGGATATGCATTCCAATTTTAGCTGAGATCTTAAGGTGTTTATTCAAGCTGGTCTTGTGAATTTAGAGAACATATAGTTTGTTTGGGGATATAATTTGTTTGGAGATTCTGTTAGACGACATGTAGTTTGAGAAACCTCTACAAAGAAGTATTTGGAACTCCTTTGGATATATCCGGCAACATTATTAGTTTATTCATTCGATAGGCCGACAAAATCATGTAGTTTTGAAAGACTTCTCATTTCTCAAGTATCAGAATGAGATGGGTTCGAGTTGGGCAGAAAAAAATTAAGTGTTCACATAGCTGAGCTCAGAACTTAAAGTATTGCGATTGGGAATATTTTGGAGTATTGTAAGTGCTAAATTTTGGAGGACCTGTAGAATTTGTTGAGCAATTTGACTGATGTTGAATATTTACATAAGTAATTTTAACTTGTCTTTGATTGAGTTGTCTTTGAGATGTTTTGGTGTTTGTATATTCAAGGTCGGTTGAGACTTAGTTGATTGGTTGAGTTGTTGTTAGCGTTGTATTATGTTGGATATGTAACCCAATTTAGCTAAGATTTTGATCGTTTGGTGTTTGTGTTTTCAAGTTTTAATCAAGTCAGTCTTGTGAATTTCAGCTGAATTCCGGGAAAGTGGTGGCTGTTGGGCCAGGACTTCATGACAAGACAGGGAACTTAATCCCTACTGCTGTCAAGGAAGGCGACACCGTCTTGTTGCCCGAGTACGGTGGTACTCAAGTCAAGTTGGGGGAGAAAGAGTGAGTGCACTTTGTTATCTGTCCTTGTATTGCTCTAAAAGCTTAAAGCTTTATTCATTTTCTAAACTTTCTTGATGATCTTGTGGCAGGTTTCATTTGTACCGGGATGAAGACATTTTGGGGACACTGCACGACTGAGCATCTATAACGTTTGAGTTTTCATTCACGCTGTTGAGGTTTATTTAAGGGGGGTGGGGAGGTTAATTTCAAGGATGTTTTTGGTTTAAGCATTCGAATCGTTGAATTGTTGACAATGTGTTTGATATCTAATGCAATGATAGTTGAATAACTGTTCTTTTAGTATTGTGCAATTGAGGAGATTGTGGCTAACACATTATGTTTTATGGAAAATGCCAAGGTGATCAATTGAAAAATGATGACACTATTTTCTGCCTTTAGCTTCTGAATCCAGCTCATTGTAAAGGCTATTATAGTTGTTTTTTTTATGGTCTGCCTGCGCCTTTATGAAGCTATTGCTATTTGATTAATATTGGCGTCTGTTAGCTAGGTGGCTGTGGCTGTGGCTGTTAGTATTAATATGGTGCAGCCTGTGATTAAAATGTCTACATGCTAGACAATTATAATACTACTAGTAAAATTATCCGCGCGAAATGTCACAGAATTTATAAAATAATACTTAAAACCTATCTGGCATTAAACTAAAACACTATAGTATTTTACATACAAGATTACGTAGTAACAAACATTAATAATGTAAAGAAAAATGAAAATTATTATATCTTATCATTTAGCATTAATAACTTAAGCATAAATTATAAATTAATGATTGTAAAAATACATATCATGATCTGTAACATAAGCAATAGTGTCAGTGAGTTACTCAACATGAGCAAAGTATGCAAATATTTAATTGTGAAGAAGAAGAGGGTCATCAAAAAAAAAAAGAGGAGGAGGTTCAGAAATTTCGGTGTGTTAAAATGAGAGGAAATCCCTCTATTTATAGACAACAAAGGGTAGTGTGAATAAATGTTTATTGTGCCTTATTAGAAAGGTTATAACTATTTGGAAAAGTTGCAGCCCTTCAGAAAGGTTACAACCTTTTATGAAAGTTATAACTCTTCATTAAAGTCACAATTCTTTATTAAAGGCGCAACTTTTCATTAGAGTCACAACTTTTCATGAAAGGGAAGGCTAATTTGTAAATAAATAAATAAAAGGGAATTCTGGTTTGTGGTGGCACAACGTAGGCGGGCCTAAGGTTCTCTTTTATATCTATATATTACCTTAAAAGCTTGAACTCCTAACTTGAATGTTAAATTACTATAATATCCCTAACTTAGGTTGTGACTTTACCGATGAGTTGTGACTTTTTTCAAAGGGTTGTGATTATTCGATGAGTTGTGACTTTTTCGATAAGTTGTGACTTTTCGATGACTTGTGATTTTTTCGATAAGTTGTGACTTTTCCAAAGAGTTGTGATCTGTCAATATGGTGTGACTTTTCCAAGAGGTTGTGACTTCTCGAAAAGGTCATGACTTTTCAGATAAGACACAAAAAATGTTTGTTCATACTATCCTTTGTTGACTATAAATAGAGGGGCTTCCTCTCATTTTTCAACCACAATTTTTTTTAATCTTTTACTCTTCTTCTTCTTTCATTTTAAAATTTTTTGTGTGATTTATTGTCTTTGAGTGAATTCGAAGTTTAGCGGAATATGAGGTACAACTATTCTGATGAAGTAAATCGGTCTATCTTAAGAGGGTATATTTCTTAACCTGGCTTGAGAAAAATAATTCTGATGATATAATAATTATTATTTTTACTTAATATATACATTAGTATGTAATGTACCAATATATGAAGTTAACATGATGTAGTCTAAATTCATTTGTTTTTTTTAACAATTTTTCTTGTGATGTAGATAAATGCTTCTAAATATCTTTTTCCTAAATTATTAAATTTCTCAAAAGTTAGAGAATTATCACGATTTGTCTTTTTGATGCTCAAGACAGAAGAATGACTTTATTTATCAATGCTACTTATATGATTTAGATTGTCATAAAGTTTTCTTCAAAATAGTTATTACTATATAAACATTACACTTTTATTTTACTGATTTATTAATTCTTAATATTTCAGTATTTTAGACAAAGAAAAGATCATATGACTTGTAATAACACCATGTGAAGTTTGTATTTGTTTAATTTTTATTATTTATTGAATAGCTAATTTTTATGGGATAAATATTTTTGTTAATGCAAATATATCTATATCTATATTACCTTAAAAGCATGAACTCCTAATTTGAATGTTAAATTACTATAATATTCCTAACATAGGTTGTGACTTTTTGGATGAGTTGTGATTTTTCTGATAAGTTGTGACTTTTTTCGAAGGATTGTGATTTTTCGATGAGTTGTGACTTTTCCAAAGAGTTGTGACTTCTCAAAAGGTCATGACTTTTCAAATAAGACACAAAAAAATACTTGGTCATGCTACCCTTTGTTGACTATAAATAGAGAGACTTCCTCTCATTTTTTTCAACCACAATTTTTTTGTAATCTTCTACTCTTCTTCTTCTTGCATTTTAAAAAAATTCGTGTGATTTATTGTTATTGAGTGAGTTTGAATAAGGCTGCAAGTGATGCCTTTGCTCTTAGTATATGCTGATTACTGTCGAGTTGTGAGTGGAAAGAAAGATTTCTTTTTGGTGAAAATAGAAGATGTACATTTTTTGTCGGTGTATTTCTTGTGCCATTAGTTGCGTGACAGCCTGGTGCTGCCTTTTATGCAATAATTTTATCATATCAAAATTAAATCAGTTGGTAATAGTGGTTCGTTTGTAGCTTACTAAGTGCATGATTGTGGTGTTAACTCCCCTTTGATGATATGCTTCAATGTTCTACCAACAATAGAATAATTAAGCAAAAAGAGGAGCAATTTTTTCTTGAGGATTGCATGAAACACATCTGTCCTTTCCCTTCACTCAATATTTCTCTGGTGTCTCTACGTTGTATTTTGTACCTTCACTTTCTCTCTTATTTTTTAACAGTTTATGAAGGAACACACCGTCATTATTATTGTCAAAATACGGTTGTCTTTACCTTCCCTTTTGATAATGATCTTTAATGTTTGAGTGATCTGCCTTGTTTTTTTTTCTCGGAGTTGTTGACTGATGAACCTCTTGATTGGTACTACCGAAAGGTCATCAATTTGCCTAATATATACATTAGTATGTAATGTTCCAATACATGAAGTTAACATGATATAGTCTAAATTCATTTGTTTTTTTTAATAATTTCTCTTGTGACGTAAATATATACTTCTGAACATCTTTTTTTCAAAATTATTAAACTTCTCAAGAGTTAGAGAATTGTCACAATTTGTTTTTTTTTATGCTCAAGACAACAGAATGACTTTATTTATCAATGTTACTTATGTGATTTAGAATGTTAGGAAGTTTACTTCAAATTAGTTATTACTATATAAACATTGCCCTTTATATTTATAAGTCATATATATATATATGTATATATATGGGTAGGTATTTGTATTTAAATTAAAGTATTATATATGTCACAACTGTATTATCAAGTTAACAAGATTTTCTAACTTCAAAATATATTATTTTAAATTGTTCCGAGTTCTTTTTAAAAAAAAACTCACAACAGATGTGAAAATATGTGAATATATATGAATCATTTAAAAATGTTATTCACACTCTTTAACATTCTTTAGTTATATGATTATGAATTCTCATAGTTATTATATTAACTATTTCTATCTTTCATCTTTTTTATCTTAACTTTTGACCAATAATTTTTCATATTATTATACCGCCCCTATATATGTGATAACATGGTGTTGATATTTTTCCTTGGACAAATCATGCTTGATTGAATAAATTGAAAATTATTTACAAGTATATGAACTACATCTTTGTTGGGTGTAAGATAAACATGTGATTATATGTATGATTTCACAGATAGAATATATTCTTTAATTTTTAGTTTTTAGTTTTTTTGGTAAAAAAAAAAAGAGGAAACCTTTCTCAGTTAACTATGAACAGTCTGATAACTAGCTTTGATTTATTTACACAGTCAATCGAGAAGTCAAATATGAGAGCCAACAACAAAAAGGTCATTGATTATGTTATAACTTATAAAATAAAAATTAATATTCAAAAATTAGTTCTAAAAAATAAAATGTAGTTGTTCTCTTCACATGTTCATGACATCCGGACAGTTTAACGTGAAATACACGTGCAAACACATCTGGTTAGATGACAAAAATACTATTTACTATAACATATATTTTCTGAATTGGTAATCACGTGTCGAAAAACTAGTATATATATATATATGATATATGATTGTTATTAGTACAGAGTTTAATGGTTTGCAAACCTTTACCTTCGTTACTTTTTCTCTGTAGAAAAGAGTGAATATCCAAGTAGCTTATGTTGGTTTTCATTGTTGTTTTCATGCCTCAAAACCGAGCTTTAGCTAGTTTTGTTGTGTTGCTTGGCGCGTTCAACAGATTCTTGGATCTGTTGGTCGTGCGCTCTAAGTATTCTATCCACATCCATTGGTTTTAATGCAGATGGAAGTGGACCAAATTTTTGGTGATCTGCACATGAATAAGACAAAGGGAACTGAAGTATTTGTGGACAACCAATCTGCGATAGCAATTTCTCATAATCCTGTATTTCATGGGAAAACAAAACACTTCAACATCAAGCTTTTCTTCTTGAGGGAAGTGCAAAATAATGGTGACATGATTCTGCTCTATTGCAAAACTAAAGAGCAGCTGGCTGATATCTTCACCAAACCATTATCAGGCAATAAATTTCAACTTCTCAGGCAAAAACTTGGAGTTTGCAGCTCTTAAAGCAAGGAGGAGTGTTAGAAATATGCATAAGAACTGCAACAGTCCAAGTTCTTTGTATTGTAGGGTAGTTAC